TGGATATTCTTAACCAATCATTTTAAACATATACAGGGAATCATTTGATTTCATATTTATTAATAAAAAAGCATTACTCGATGGAAGTATACTACTTAAGGATTTCATAGTTACCCTGTCAACCATTTCCCTACAGTACAGTGTTTCATTTAAGTCCCTGTAATATTAACATTTGCTAAATGCTAAATTCAGTTTCAATATGCACAGTGCATGTTCTAATTATTGTAAAATGAACATGATATATATTGGTATCTGTTGAGCTGAATTACTCCAACCTGCTTGGTTGCTCTTTCTTTCAACAAACATCTTCAATAACTTAATGAGCACAATTCTACTTATAACTCAAAATTAGTTGCTACCAGGCAAACAGAAGTAATTAGACCCCATCCCGGTGAAAATGATGTGTCTACTCTAAACCGTTCTGCTGCTGGTTCCAATCTGATGTATGCAAGTGGATTATCCGGTAGTGAGGTGGTAAATGGAATAATCAGAGGAGAACAAACATTATAATTGTCAGTGTATCAGGCCCGATGAGAGGATACAGGCTATATGTTTGTAAATGCATTACTTATACCACTAAAGCTGTAATATCTGTTTACCCAGGGGAGTGGGAGGGGGGCTGCCAGCCTTCTCGTATGCATGCATGATCAAAAACAAGCTCAAAAGGACACATGCGCAAATAGTAATTTTTCTACATTTGAAACATCTCTCCTAATGGCAAGGTCGAATCATGGCGCTTTCCGTAAGTCGATGCCTTAAAACCTCAAATGAAGTCACTGTTGGAAATCTCTGAACTATTTCTCCTGTTCAAGCGTCCCCATGTCGGTGTGTATTTCTCAGCACACACATATCAACCGCTGCCAGGGTTCGTCTTGACTTTTCAGAGTTTTGCACGATCGTGTCCAGAGGCACAGAGGGATCTTTTGGCTTCATTTGCATGTAAAGTAGAGCGTGCTCTTCTGTGGGCGTGAGGTGCCTCCAGACAGCCCCTCCCATGTGGCCCCGGCAGACTGAGGCAGCCAGAAGCCCTCACTCTTCCCTACCTGCTGGGGTGGGGCATGACAGCACACTGCGCAACATCTTAAGGTCATGTCAATCTCTTCAGTGCCCCGACTGGGGTCAACCTTCTGAAGAGCAGCAGGTTGGCAAGGACAAACACGACCCATTCACAAAGACTCGCCTCAGACAGACAGAAAGGCATGGATGAGATATTAAAAAGCCTCACACAGGGCGGCACATGAAGGGATTCCAATGCTCCTGGCACTGTATAAGTATCCAATAAAACAAAAGTGCAGGGAGCTAATAAACAAGTAGGGTAAAGAAAGAGACGAATGCACTTTGAGTGGCACTTTGTGAAAAAGTCGATGTTGATGGAGGTTGCCGGGCATTTCGGGAGAGTGTTGAAACCGTCTTATCAGAGTTAATAAAAGAAGAGGGTGTTGCTGGCTGACCCGTCATCGCTCTTCTCATCAGTGTGGTCTCCAGACTCACAGCAGTGGAGAGAGGAGTGGGACCTGGCTCCAAGATTGTGTTTAGATAATGGCCATCTCCAATCATAGATAATCTGGCCCCATCTTTTCTTCACAGACACAGCGGCAGACAAGGTCAGGGGGAAAAAGATTCCTGGCGAGGCGAGGAGGAGATAGGGATGGGGCGGCTCTGAGATGATTTACTGCTGAGATTCACTCAGCTGCCTCCATCACCCTCCGTTAACTTTCTCATCCTGTCGTCTCTTCCCCTCTCGCCCTTTTTGTCTTCTTTCCCTCACTCTCTCGCATTCCTCCATGGGCCTTGTACTGAATCCCCATCTTTCTCACTATCACTCGCTTCATCTCTCCCTTTGCACCGCCGTACCGATAAGAAACGAAGAGAGACAACTTTCCCTCATTTATTTCCCTTTTGGATTGAAGCTTGAGTTTTAAGGGGCCTTATAGAGTACGAGTGTCTGTTCCTGCACTGACCACAGAGCAAGCAGAAGACCCATGCCTCGATTGCCTCTCAGAATCTCTAAGTTGAAATCATTCTTTGATAGAATTGGGCAGCAAAGAAAAGTGCTGTTAAGAGGCATCAGACAAATGTGGACTTTGTGGGGAAGAGGTCGGCTGACTCAAGGAACAGAAATAGATTTAAAGGCTGTGAAGCTCGCCTCCCACGCTCCATTCTTTCTTGATAATCCATGGAAAATATAAAATAAGACATGAGTCACTGTGTTAGACAGCCAGAGAATCAGCTCTGTGATCCACAATGGCAGCCGAGCGGCAGGATTGCGCAGCGCCGAGCCACCCCCGGTCCTTTTCTGAGCTCTGGTTTTATTTCTCCTCCTGACACTCCGATATCCCCAGGGAGAGAGGATGTCTCTCAGGGACACCGTGAACAAAAGAGGGGCCACTGGACTCCCCGGATGGAGTAATGGGCCCTAATGCCGGCACATGCACGTAATCGAGACCTCAGCTCAACATCCAATGACAGATAATTGCTGATGTCTTGGTTGTGATAAATGTGACTCCTTTCCAGAGGTACAAATGTCCCGGTGCAGCCCTGGGTTTGACAATCGAAAGGCCCCACTGGGATTGGTGTACCTGACTGCTCCCAAGGCTTCCACAGATGAATCTCTTTCCACTTTCTCTCTTTTAGTCAGTCCTAGCAGGGCTGTCTATTTTCCTTTAACCACAGGCCTTCATAGTAAATCTCATTTCATTGTCAGCCGCGACTGTGGTTTACTTCCCCGGCCTGTGTGCTGACTTCCTGTTGCCATTAACGCTCAATATCTCTGTTGGGGCCTGTCTGCTTGGTCTTATTTCATTCTGTGCTGTGTCCTATCCTGTCTCCCCATATAGAATGTTCATCTGACAGAGCTGTGCCAGCCTAAGAGCTCTCTGTATTTCATTCACACTGCCTGTTCATCTCCCTTCTCTTCCTGCAGGAAAAAGGGTAGTAATTGATATTGGGCCCCATCCATCCTCCCCTCTTAAGTCCAGGGATCCAATTTATCTTGGTGAGAATGCCGATTGGCTCTCGCCCAGGCCTTGTCGGTCACTTTGCCTGTTTTTAGATGGCCGTTAATTAAAGCGCCGCCATGACAAAAATAAGATCTACATGGGGGTGTGTGTGTGGCAATAGAAATGGGCCATCTGATTCACACTTGACCACATAAATCAGCCGAGTGGCTCAGTCTAATCTGACCTAGGCAGTCTAAATCACCACTCTGAAATGCAAGCACGGGGCAGACACAGACCAGTCCAATTAGATCCAATTCCAGCCATGTAAATCTTTAACAGGCTTAATCTGCATTAACCTCTGTGATGTTAGTCACAAATGGCTTCAGAATGATCTAGTCAATCACCATGTCATGACGCTGTGCAAGAGAATCGGTGCAATGTCAAAGCACAAATGCACATTTAAATGTTATTCAGCTTGCTGGTGCAGGGTTACTTTTTGAAAAAGATCAGCATATTAGAGAGTTGAACTTGCCAATACAGTATGCCAAATCAATCGATCTTTAGATCAGGGATTTTCCAATTCTTAAAGTGGACCTATCATGCTATATTTGAATAATATATTGTAGGACCATACCTATACAGTATAAGGCATATTTATACTTTTTATTTTTCAAAATACCAAACAGATCATGCATTTGAGCCATTCCTCATTCCGCTCAATTGAACACTGTCTTTGCATCATGAGCTGATTCTGTGAGAACAGCACCACCTACAGGCCTGGCATATGTACTACAGCGTCTCCAGCGCTTTCGAACGGCAATGTCCGTGGCTGTCTCCTCCTGATTGGTGGAGTTGGCCCAATAGCCGTAGCGCCACTTCTTTAACGTCATAGAAGTGTTCAAATCTGGATCAGTCTGTATCAGATCCGTTGCAGCCCCTTTTTAAGAGATTTGGGTATGGAGGAAAATAGAGAGGGTTGTGTTTTCTGACACTTGGTGAGTTCCCTGGAACACCGGGGACACATATTCATGTATACAAGACGTACAAAAGTGCATTTTGCATGATAGGTAAACTTTAAACTGTTGTCTTCCCCTTGAATAATGCGCCATAAACCCGTTTAGTTTACTTGCTTAGTTTCCTTCGTTTCTGGGATGCTTATGGGACACAATGAGGTTATTTGATCCCATATAGAGCATAGACACTAAACAACTCCTGTCATAACTTCCAACGACACATACAATTATGTGCACAAGCATTTATTAGTTTGAGACTTTTAGAAAGTAGGTAAATCTGTAGCATGTGTGCATACTTCTATATTGTGATCTCTTTAACCAAATATATACAATACTACTATAATGATACTTTTATTCAGGTATATAATTCCAGTGTAATTATGTCACAGAACTATTAATGAGGCAAACGGGTAGATAGGTGTACTATAGGCAGATGTATATGTACTATGTGTGGATTTTAGAGCAGTAATGCAGGAACTGTATATAATAGACAATAAATTGGGCTCTTACTTTTAGACAAAAAAAACAATATTGTGTACCACAAACATATTCTTTACCTCTTAATTATAACATATCCCACTTTGAAAGACTCATGTTGTCTTCATATAGTAACTAATAAAGTACATTTAGTCAAACGGATAGTGTCTCTCTCCACTAAGTAGCTCTGAGGTGCTTCTTTGTGTATGTTTGGGTTGTATCTCAGTGTCTCTTAACTTTGAGCAGATCTCTACGGTGTTCATGGGACGGAGATCCTCCACTCCCCATTGTTTTCTGTTCCCTCTCTCTGTCTCGTGTATTTCTCTCCATGTTTCTCTGTCTCGTCTTTGAACCGCTCCCAGTGACAGTGAACCTGAGACAGCCCCTCTGCTGGCACAGATGGGAAGTCAATAGAAGCAAGTGACCTATATTACGGACTACTCTACTACTCCCAGTGTGTCTCAAGTGAGAGCAGAATATTAAGGATAGAGTGTGCAGTGTATTTGTGTGTTTGCGTGTGTGTGTTTTTTTAAGGGGTGTGTGCAACGGAGACCAGGAGAAGGTTAATTACCTCCTCGTCCTTCGCTGTCGGCTGGCTTCACCTGGATGGGCCGGTTCATCTGGAGAAAGAGAGAAAAGAAAGAGAAAGGGAAATCCCAGGTTAGCACGAAAACGATAGGAGCAATATGTGAAGTGGAAAGAGAACGAGTGCAATGTGGCGGTTTTCCTGACGTGCATGTCCTGAGTTTGTCCTGCTATGTGAGCTGAACGCAAAAATCAAACAGTGACGACGGTTTAAAAGAGATAAATCTGCGCAGTGTTTCATGCCAACGTGTTTAATTAATCCAGCGCACTGCCTCTAGAGATGCCTGAATTCCCCTCACAGTTCAGCAGAATTAGCACTTTTCAATGACGGAGCCACACGGGGTGTCAGATGGCACTTGGAGATTAATACCATTACATCAGCCACTCCGTGCCCCACAGGGAGAGGTCCTTTCTGGCTGGCCCTTGCTCGTCCCCTCCTGGCTCCAGACTCCCAGTCACCAGCTATATCCTGCTCATCCCTGACCCTAAGTGATCCCTCTCTCCCTGCCGCCATCCCTTCCTCCTCTCTACCCAGAAGCCCTGTTGCGACTCCGGACCAACGCGCCAGTGGTCTGGACAGCCAACCCCTCCCTGCTCCAGCCTGCTCCTCCTGGAAGCGATTGAGAGTGACTGCACAGCGAATCTGTGAAACAGCTTGTGAAAGGTTAACAGTAGGGAATCGATAAACAACCTTTGAAGAACCATTTTATAGTGAGGTGAAAGCAAACGTTGCCAAGCTAACATAAAAAAGCCTTTTTAAAAACTGCATGGCGTGAATAAAAACTCCCCTGGCTCTCTTTGCTCCCATGTCTACAGCCTACTTTTTACTCTCACTCCCTGGAGTTTGAATATAAAAGCAGGAAAAAACACTCGACCCAGTGCCTTCACTGAAACAACAATAACATCCTCTCTTTCGTTTTTGGAAAGGTAGGTGTTAAGAGCCACCCTCGAAGACCTTTGCTTATTGAGGCTTCCCACGCATTTCGTATTTGGCTTTTTGTTTTATTTCTGGCATGGTGTTTTCTGTCTTCAGTCAGCAGCAAGCCCATCTTTCTAACTAGGCCATGCAGACAGGTCCAACATGTGAACGCCAGTGAATGGCACACGGTCCTGCCCCCTCAGATCTGTCAGCTCGGGCAGCACAGTGGCTGTTGGGCCCCCAGGCAACACAGCACTTGCCAGCAGTTGACCGGGGCCAAATATAGACCTAAGACTTTGGACGTGTACAGACACGCGTATACATGGTGACACCCCGGGGACGTAATGTACGCGTCTAGAAAAAAGCTGTGACCCTGGAACAAAGCTAAAAGAGATGATGGACGTATCACAAAGACAAGCGAATGAAGCTGCACACACAGACATTCACACCAATACAAACAGACATGCGTACATACAGTACAAACAGACGTGTCCAAAGGTGGAAGAGGTTGATAGTGTTTGACTTTGCATATACTAACATGCAAAAGCGACGTGGTCTGTCATAACTCATTTTCCTTACGTTCTCAGGGGGAAAGAGCCGGCTTGATGAAGCTATTAAAAATGAAATTGACATAGGGTCATGTTTGTTTGTGTTTACAGTTTCAATGAAGGGTTGAAGGGGGGCACTTATCTTAATCATTATTAGAAAGTTTGTATGGCCTTAATCAGCCAGACAGGGGGATGTTCTATTTCTGGCTGGTTCAATATTGCACTAATTATGTTAGAAAGTGAATCTGAGTTAAGGTTCAGATAGGGTGAAGCATTGATACTGTATGTGAGTATGCGTGTGAGAGAATTAAGGTCAGTTGGTACATTTTGTAAGTGTGTGTGAGTGTGTCTCAGGACGGGGCAGAATTTGTCTCGCATAAGAAGTTCAGAGTAGCCTGAGGTCCCCAAATCCCTGTCCAGTGATCAGTAGGCTTCCAGGTCTTAAACGGCAGCGATTGGTCAGGAGGCTTCATTAGTAGCCCCTGAGCCACTGCACCAACGAGAGTCATTAGACGACCCAAAAGTACACTTGGGGTTGCTAGGCAACCGAGCGGAGGTGGCCGGCAGGCAGGCAAAGCAAGGCAAGCTGGCCGCTGGTCTGTGGGCTGTTAGCCAACCAATCGGCACTCCTTTCTTTCTTCTTTTTTTTCTTTCACTTGGTCCAAGGAGGTCATAGTGAGAGGGTAGGAAAAAAAAAAAAGATTTCTTAACTCCCACCTTCCAGCATGTCCCACTTTCATGTCCCTTTTTAGTGACTGTGACAATGAGTTTTCAGAGCGAGTCTGCTGAAACGTCTGCTCCAGCTTCCTGCCAAATTATGGAGTTCAGCGCCATGCCAAACTATGGGGAAGTGAGGAGCGCTCACATGCAAATGGCAGGAATTAAGAGGTCTGCTTCTTTCAACTACTTTATAGTGTTCTCTACAGTACGTACACGTTCTTGTGCAAACGGAGGAAATGTTTCAGCACACACACACACGCCTACTGCACAGAAATATTGAAGTTGACTTATATCGTCACTTTCTCTCACTCTCTCTCTCAATGTCACACACACACACACACACACACACACACACACACACACACACACACACACACACACACATATATATGCACAAAAAGTCTAGGGGCTCAATAACAGCAGGTGGCTTAGGTGACATTTTAATCCCTTATTACTGAGTGCAGGATTAGCCAACAGATCAAGGCAGAGTTAATTATACGAATTCATCAGAGGCTGGGCGAAGAGGCAGCCTGCGTTCCCCTAGGGCCAGGACCCACTCCCCGCCCCCCCCACACCACCACCCACCCTTTGCCTACACACTTAAAAACACACACATGAAGAACGAGGACAGTTACACGCTAAGGGAGAAGCTAGCTAGTTCCTTTTAGCATTGCAGCGGCAGGAAGCTTGCCTCAACAGATGTTGTAAGAAAAATGACAACCTTCCCATTGGACATCGCACAATGAACTGCATACATTGGAGAGAAGCACTACAGGTTTTTTTATCCTATAGCCCTGTGGCTGCTGAAGCTGAAAGGAGTTCAACATCCCCCAGTCTTGCTTTATCTTTGTCTCTCTGCCCCTTTGGCCTCCAAAACCAATATGCTTCCCACCACAGCCCCTTAATGGGTTGATCAATGCTGACAAATAGGCAGCTCATGCTGTCTTGCCTGGGAACTCACAGCTCTGTGCCTGTGTGCTGCTGCACTTAGAAGGGCCATCTCTCTTTCTCCTCATCCTTTTTTCTGTCTTTGTCTTTCTTTCACCGTCCATATTTCCCCTTCCTTCATGCTCTATTTCCTTCATGTCTATACATTCATTTTTCTTTGCTCTAATCTCTAGAGGCAAATCTATACTTTTCATTCTGTAATGATGAATAAAAGTCATTGGCGGGTGGAAGGCCAACCGTGTGGAAGAGAGGAACTTGCTTACATTTTCCAGTAAAGGTCTGTGTGTGTGTGTGTGTGTGTGTGTGTTCGTCTCAGAGTGTACGTATGTTGTGTGTGCATTTGAGTCCATCTTTCTTTCGGTCAGTTTGATTGATAACAGTGTAGAGAAAGAGAGAGAAAGACACCCCTGGCCTTTGACCATGTTCTGTGAAAACCACTGCTCACAAAGCAAGCAAGAGGAAATGCTTTGCCAGAAAAATGTTCTCCAAGAACTTTGACACAAGTAGCTGTACTTTGGCTGTAGCTTTTACTTTTATATTTTTAGACGACTGGCAATAGCTGATTTTAAGCCCAAGTGTTTTGTGTTCAAAAGTTTGATTGGACAAAATAAATACCACCTGTGGGAAGATCATAATTCTAAAATCTGAGTACCGTTATTTCTTTTCTAGCTGCATGTCAATTATTAGCTGTTTCTCATCTTCTCATCATATCTAGATCAGAACTTTTTTATTTTAGAGTCATCCTCAAGTATGATTAATAGAAATAATGATGTAAAAATACTTTAATACGTTTTGGGTGATTAAGAACTTATTGTATTATTAAGTTGGATAATTCTGATGTCTTCTGGGTAGATATTTGGTCAAATGTGCACTGAGCTAAACACAAAGAAGGTTACATGTGCAGTAAATGTTATATGTCATTGGCAAGTTCCTCCATCGCATAAAGCTCATTCTGTTATCCTACGGTTTAATGTGATCCACTAACCCGCTTTCAAAATGTTCTCGTCTGACGCTGGCAGGACATAAACATGTCCAAGTACCTTGTGTCAGTTTAAACACAAGCGTAACATTTTATAACACTAACAGTTTTATTTATTGTTTTGCATCTGTGATAATGCATTGTGTACTTTGCAAGTGGCCCATTGTCATTCTGGGTGCCTTTAGTTTGTTCTAGTGAGGAAATTCATAAAGTTAGACTCATCTAGTGTTGGCTACATCTCCATGCAACAAACAAAGCCACTTCTGCCAAAACTGTGATTGAGCATTACCCTGTTTGAGCCCCACATAAACTCACAATTTCCCAAAATAATCCTGTTTACAGTACATGACATCCCCCAAGAGAAAAGTTCTTTTTCGACTTCCAAAACAAATAACTTGTTTCCTGACATGCCACTGTCAAAAGTAACTAAAACAGTTTCTCCCATGTGTGTGCTCCAACATATCATGCTGTTCACCACGGCAGATCAAGCTGTGCTGCAATTTGAAATGCATTGAAACATAGAGTACAGAACTACACTTGCAAAAACCTGTGTTGGATGCAATGCTACATGCTGCTTTTGCCCACTGTGACCCAGGGATTGGTGAGGACTCATGCCATGACTAGTATCTTAATATATTGAGAAAGTTCCATAAGATTTCTTATTAAAGCTAACTGAACACATGTATGTAATTGTATTCTGTTATTCACACCTTTTCACAGTAAAATAACGTTATAGAAAATAATATTGCTAATCTGTTCTTGCTGTCATCTTGTCAAGTCATCTGGTAGCATTCTCTTGATCAGCCACCCATTGTTTCATGCCTCTCATTATTTTCCTGCCGTTTCCCCGTCAGTGAAGTCATTGGAGCTGTTGATGCCATTTACAGCCTTTTAAGCTCAATTACAGATGTTAAACGCAGG